CTCGTCGATAAGTGCTCGGAGATTCTCTAAGGACTGCGTCACTCTATCGAACCTCCCTTCACGCAGGGAGCGGAGCTCGGCCATACATCGAGTGTATACATGGTCCGATACATCGATCCGAAGGGAAGTACGGACTTCCTCGATGTATTCGGCTATGCGTTCGAACATCGCCGCCGCTCTTTCCTCGGAGGATCCGAGCGACGGTTCGCGGTCACGAGGACCTGCGTTGCCGTCGCCCGACGGGGCGGATGGGGATCGCACAGCGTCCGGACTCGGATCCGCCGCTTCGGAGCGGATCGAGGGCTCGTACTCCTGGCTCATCTCAACGCGTTCGGACGCGGAGGGCCTAAGAGGTCTTCTCGAAGAACGTACTCCGGGGTCTTCTAGGTCGGGAGACCACTGTAGTGTAACACTCCCCAACGGAGAGGGGTGTATACTTAGCTCGACGTAGACCCGTACGAGGGGCGAGAAGACGGGGAGAACACAAAGCTAACGAGACAGGGAAGCGGGCCCTGGTAGCGTGGTAGAGCGGGACGGTCGGGGACGAGCGTACGCGCGGGCCGATCTACGCCTCGACGCCCCGGAGCAGCGCTGGGTAACGTACCAGCGCTGACGGGCGGAGGCGGATCTAGGCTCGTTCGCGTACGCAGCTGTCCCCTACCCGCTTTGTCCCGGTTAACGCGCGCGAAGGCGGATCGCGCTCGTTAGTTAAGCTGGAAAACGGACCTCGGCGGTAGGTCGTGGACCAGTCCGTGCTTGTCCACCTACCCCGCCGCCGGTCGCTCTCGTATTTAATGTATACAATGCGTCTATCATAATACTACAGTACTGGTATGCTGTAGTAACTTACTGTAGCGCGGGTCGTCCCGGGCTGTAATGCTGTCAGCCGTCGGGGCTGACAGCACACGTGTGTGACGCGTACTGTGCGAGCGGTGGTACGCGCCTCGTACACGTGTACGCGTGTGGTCCCGCGTCCTCCGTACACGTGGGGGTACACGCGTGCGCGCGTGTGGTTCGTATTGATCTGATCTAAATCTAATCGCGAACCGCCGTTATGCCACAATGCGCAGTGATGAGATCAGCGGACAGCTTTGCTTGAGGGAGACCAACAAGCGAGGGGGTGTAACCCCGAGTCATCTCGAAGCTGCTCAGTGACTTGCTTCCATATAAGATGTTGCTCAGATACACGGCACGTGAGACCACGTCTTTCCTTTTAACTGAGTCAACACTGCACGCCGAGGAGTTTGATGCATCCTTTAGAAGACGTTGGATAAGCACACGGACAACCGCATTCTTCCGCTCCACGACGCCGAGTTTGTTATGACGTCGGGCTGGACGGGGTTCAAAACGTATTGAGAAGTACCTTAGGGCGTCGGCAAAACGGGAGTTGAAGAACTCGATATCTCCCGATATGATTGACGGTGCACCGTGAACGTTTACCCATGCGACTTCCAATTGCCGAGCTGCTTCGTCCATCTCACGGGTCCGCATCAGGGATGCTACTGAATAACCCGTATGGACATCCACCATATGTAAGATGGGGGCGTTCTCGAACTCCGCACAGAAGAAGAAGTCGAGTTGGACATGGTTGTTGAACGAGGCGAGTATTTTCCAAAGGATATCTTCCGTGATTGGAGTGGGCGGCCTGTTTCTTTGCAGCTAGTGCACTTCTCGACGGCTCTCTGAAGTGCTTGTTTTAGCACAGGAGTCATCACCCCTCCTCGACGACACAGCGTCTCCATGTCTTGAAGGGCAAGGTGTGAATATCCATGAAGCTTGTTGGCAAAGCGACCGGCGATTCTGCCATATCGAAACCTTGCCTTCATGGTTTCTGCCGGCGGGATAGTGGACGCATACGAGACTTCCGTGGAAAAGAACGTCACAAAGGAGGATGTTTTCGACGGAACGACGAGAAGAAATGTGCGAACCGCATCGGGGTCACTCGACATTGTTGGTTCGGTGTATGTCTTGAACGTGAGACGTTTCAACGAGAGGTTTCTCACTCGTTTTGGAATAACCAAAAGGTTCTCCGGTCCCAGCTGGTACGAACGGTGAAGGATTTCGTTACCCAGAAGAAGGAATCCATCTCCTCTCGTAACGTAGAACGGAATTTTGACTTCCGTTCCACTCATGTCGGTCACAGGAAGGTCCCAAACTCCAATAGTGACCTCGGCGTCGCTACAATTCTTGCCATATCCGTGCAAGAACGGTTCACAGTCTAGCCTTCGAAGTTTAAACGGAATGTTCATGGCAGTGCAGAGGGCTGCGGCGCAAGAAATTCCTCCAACACTTCTGGGACATCCCGGATCAATAATGGGATTTGGATCCGGGATTCTCGGATTGATATCCGAGGAGGCTCCGGGATGGCTGACTAGGCTTGCCTGTTTGACGAGCCGCCGGAGCCTCTCCGAAAAAACGAGGGATGTGCCCCGGAGCCGCCGTCACTGGGGTCTCGGCGCGTCCTCTTTTTCTTAGTGAAGGCGCTAGGTTCCTTGCACTCTGCTGCCCCTCTGTAGTGACCACGCTCTCCGCAGTCAGAGCAAATGGACTGGGTCTCGTGATCAGAAGGCAGCTGCCTCTTGCGACTGCCTCGAGATGCGTTACGACGGCTAGAGGGTGGACCCATTCGAGTGTCCTTCTTCTGCCCGTGACGTGAGCCGACTTCAGAGAGTCTGTAGAAGATGCTTGCAGGGCCAGGCTTGCCATGGGTGCCAATGAGAGACTTGACCTTGCGGTCAACTAAGGCTTGGACGTCCTTCATAGAGAACTGAGGAGCATCCATTGACGTTGTCTGGGTCAGATTCCTCAGCACGATCACCGCGTCGTCAAGGTTGAGCCTGCAAGAAGTATGCCGCGGCAGGAAAGAGTCTGCCACTGACGTCTTCGCAGCATTATTCTCTGCAGTCACCTTTAGGTCTTCGACTGCAATGTCCAAGGAGCGGATGAAGCTGATTGTTTGCGATCTGAAGTCGGACAGAGCCTTCTTGTAATCATCGGCCGTGGACTCTGACTCGCGGAGTGGAACGTCAACCTTCTTCAGCTTCTCGGATATCTTGAGGACTTCCTCGAGATGCACCTTGGATACCTTTTCGGTGTCGACGACTGCCGACTCCTCCTTGTTTCGGGCTTCTGCATGCGAAATTAGTTGGAGCTTGGCATTGGTCAACGTTCCCTCCTCTATGTTTGCGTTATTGAGGAGGGTAATCGCCAAAACTTCACCTATCTGCGAAGAAGAAGAAGTGTTGGCGTGCAGCAAGTGCTTGGCTGCCAAACCTCGGAACCTCGAGACGAAGCTGGAGAGCTTCTCGTTCCTGTCTCGGCGACACGAGGTGACCTTCTGGTATGATGCGATGAGCCTTGTGACCATGGCAATCGGTGGGTCTACAGCGACAAGCTCGACGATGGAGAGTGCCGCTTGCACGGGATCATCCATCTGAAGGTAGTCAAGCTGTCCTTTGGACTGGGCTTCATCGACGATTGCCTTCTGAGCTTCCGGAAGGCCGCGCTCATAGAGCGTTCGTCCGAGGAGCTTGAACATCGTCTGAAAAGTGCGATCGGTGCCTTGGTCGTGGGCGACTTTAAGTGAGTCGACCCACTGTCCAACCTTCTTGCGCCAGGCTTCAAGATCGCCATCGGCGGCGAAGAGAGGCGGGTCGAAGAATCCTGATAATTTACTCATCTTTCCCCCTGGGCCCATAACTGTGGGAGAACGGGAACGATGAGGTTAGTAGTAGCCGCGCTCGTCGCACGCAGCGGCGGGGGAAAGGAGTCGCGAGAGCGAGGGGGATGGGGATACTTCGGATGTCGAGTCTCGAGACTTTTCGCCGGCGCTGTCGGAGGGTAGCAAGTTACCCCCGAGGGTCGGTCGGGATACCGCCCTCGGATTTTTATATATCCGGATTTCCCGCCGGCGCGTCGAACGGATAATTTCCCTTTTTTCCAGATTTAGGGCTAACCAAATAAAGTGCAATTTCTATCTTCCCACATCGATATCTTGATGCGGTGGAAAGAAAGACAAGATGCGCTTCGCCGAGAATGTCTTTACGGTCCTTTTTTTGTCGGGGCATTTCGGCAAGAAAATACGTCCAATCAGAGGTTTGCGCAAGTCATTTATTTATCTAACAATGGGCGACTCCTGAAATTCTAAAATCGCAAATTGTGTTGACCAAATCGGGATTTTGTGACACACAAACGGCGCGTTGTGCACACACAACGCGCCGTTTTCTCGGACGGGCGACCCCATGCTAGGTTAAATGTGTATCGCACAAATGTCAAAATGTGCGCGCGTACAATCCAAATTTACTGTACACAGAGAAAGCGTCGGCCGCCGCCCGACCGACGAGACTCGACATCTACATCCTACCGAGCATGGCTCTGAATGAGAAGTAGCAATAGAATAGCCATTTGGTCATTCATGGTTCTGACGGTGGCTGCTCGGTGAAAACACCATCATGATTGAGCTTAGCTCACAGCACACACTGTAGATAGAGCTCCGACGGCGTCATCGCCGGCGTCCGGTGCCGTGCTCGTCGTTAGGAGCGACCCTGACACACCGTGCTCGTCGTTAGGAACGAGTTCAAAGCATGCGTACAGTAGGGGGACGCACATTATGTGCGCAAGCATTTCCGTGGTAAAACTCATTTTTTGTTCACAAAAAAGAAAAATATGACTCTGACACAAAAAATAATTTCCGGAGGCGCCCAATGTAAACTTTAAAGGGGCGATATTTCTTTGCGCCCAGTATGCGCAAACCAGCATATGTGTGCGGCGCACACATACCGTCCTGTACTTGGCCACGTGCGCGTTTCGTTTGACACGTGTATCCGAAAAGGCGGATTGTGATCAATCCAATGTTCTCTTCAGTACATCTCCTCCATGCCTGCCACATCTTCCTGCGAGGCAAAAAGAGAAGCACACATTAGTCAATTCGCCTTATCTCGGTAGTCCGTCTAACTCAACCGATCCACCCCTTCTATCTCTTCGAGCACCTGCTGCTCGATATGGAGGCTTTCGAGAGTTCATGGACCGGTGGTGTCGGCGCTCTAGTCGACCGTGTTCTTCCCCCGGTTTGTGACCGCCCGGAATCTCTTCTTCAGCTGCCCTCGATCATTTTGAGCGAATCCGATTGTTTTCGGGCGTCTCTGTCTCTTGCCCTCGGTTTAGGGATTGTCTTCTTCGCTGGCCTCATCAAACTGCCGCAGATAGCCACTATCGTGTCAAACAAGTCGGTCGCCGGTCTCTCAGGTACAACGTTTCTTATCGAGACCTTTGGCTACACGTACAACCTCGCCGCCCATTATCGCCAGAACTATCCAATTTCTACATACGGTGACTTTTCTGTCCTAATTCTAGAAAACTATGTGATCCTCTACCTCTTTTACTCGTACACAGACCGGAAGGAGGTCGGGTTTGCCGTCATTGCCGCCTTTTTTGCCAGCCTGGTTCTGTTGTGTTCTCCGATCTTCCCAATGCCGCTCCTTGAACTTATGCTTCTCGGCAACGTGGCCGTCGTCGTTCTTGGCCGCACGCCGCAGGCCTATTCCAACTACGTCAACGGCTCAACTGGTGCTCTCAGCATCATTACATGTTGGGGTATTTTCCTCGGTGCATGTGCGCGCATTTTTACCACCATTCAGGATGTAAACAGTTTCAACATTCTCGCTGGGTACCTCTCCTCTGCTATTCTGAACGGTATAATCGCCTTCCAAGTTGCGTACTATCGTTACGTAAAACCAAAAGTATCACCAGAGGACAAGGTCAAGAAATCGACTTAGAGATTGTGTCGTCCAACCTAAAGCTGGCGCATTTTTGCAGCAGCAGAGATGTTCTCTTGTTGGCTATCCCGTATTCACCCTCAAGAGCTCAAGAAATACTACGACTTTGCCCGCGCATCACTTTTCTCAGGTACTGTACATTTTCGCATAAACTTCAATGGCATCCTTGCCCTGCCTTACAGGCTCTTCTTGTATCACATCCTTGCACATCGTACTCATACATTTGTGTGTGACGCTTCCGCAGTTGCTGCATTCTGTCGACCTGACAGTGCGGTATTTAGTCTCCGAATTTCGTTCAGAGTTTGCCTTTGCTCCCGTGCACGGGCAATGCGGGGCAAAATGATAAGTACAGCCACCACGACCAGGAGACCAGCTACAAGAATCGCACCCACAGAAATCAACGCGATCACTGCGCCAGTTCCTATTTCATCTGATTCTTCGTCGTTTAACCGATCTCCACCGAGGGTTTCATTGGAAGATGCCTTTTTCGGCACGGTCACATTCATAAGTATTGCAGTTTCAATAGAGCCTTGAGCAAATGAGAACGTCTCCCCGCTTTCTTCCTGTAGGTTTCGGGTTTTGTCGGCTAACATAAGTCTGCGTTTGTATTCATTTGCGAGTGAGGGAGACGTCGGCATGTAGAATACAAGCGGGATAGATTCCGGCTCCTTGCCATTTGGTAGCATTGTGACACCAGCCACTCGTCGAACCAAAAATGATGAAGTCCGAATCCCAGCCGCAGAGGACAAAGCGGCTGTTATGCGAGATGCAGCATAGGCCATGGCGGGAACAGTCTTGGGTTTCAAAGTCATAGACAAAGCAATAATTGATGCTGAGGAATTCCACCCCGGGATCGATTCATCGAACTGCTGTCTTTGAAGTTGCCTTGCCGCTTGAAACCGTGTGACCTGGCTGTTCATTTCTATCTCCTCAAACAATCTGCTCCATGGTGCGTAAACCAAGCGGTTGACTGCATTGGACATGACCTGAGTTCCACTTGATGCCAAGATTCTGTTTCGGGATGTTGAAGAAACCAATATTTGTCGGACTTCAGCTGAGGTCAAATTAGGTAGCGCCCCTAAGATCAATGCTGACATGCCAGCCACAACCGGGGCAGCCATGCTGCTTCCTGTGCGCAGCTTCCAGGCTGGCCCTGATTTATTGCCCCAAGCCGATAAGATGTCCACTCCTGGAGCGAAGCAATCAATGCAGTCTCCAAAGTTGTTCTTCTTGTACATCCGATCATCTTTGTCAGTTGCCCCGACAGCTATGGTAGATGGGTTTCTGGCTGGGTACATATCACAAGCATCAGCATTGTCATTCCCGGCTGCTGCCACTAAAACAACTCCTTTATCCCAAAGCTCCTGCGACACTTCCAACGATGAGGAGCACGCTGAGTTGACGGATCCAACAGATAAGACCGCCACGGAACGCTGGCTATCTTTCCGTCGTCTTTCGCTATCCGAAAGCACGAATTCAAGTGCGCTGAGAACATCAGAGCATGATCCTCTCCCTTGACAGTCTAAGATTCGAACTGCAATAGCACGTGCTTGACTGGCAACACCGCTTTTCACTCCGACAGCTATTCCAGCCACATGGGTACCATGCCCATCACAATCTGATGGAAGAGAGCCTGGATTTTCAATGTTGATGCCATACTCTGCCCTGCTTCCAGAGAAGTCTTGATGGTCTATGTGGATACCACTGTCGATTATATAAATGTTTATCCTGCTGCGTGCTTTGGTAACCTCGCCTAAATCGTACTGTTTCACGCCAGATGAAATTTGTTCTAGAGTGAGCTTTTCTCTCTGCACGATTCTTTGAAGCCCCCATCTTGGTTCGGTACCGGATTCAGACCTGAGAGCTACAGCCACTGTGAAGCATGCTAAGGTGAAAAAGGTACAATTGTTTACCCATGTTTTGCCTATGTGAGGCGTCTCCATGTCTCAAACTCTTTCCCCTTTCTGCTGCGGGTTTGAAAACGACAAGAGTGGACCTTCTTCCCCTTGCATACAGTACTCTACCAGATGCGAAACAACCGCTTGCTGGGAGAGGACAAGTCGAAGTCGCAAAGAAGAAGGGATGTACTCGGTATGTATACTTCAAATGGGGTGGTAGAGGAAAGAACAAGGATGAATGGTACTGTTGTGGTGTACCGCACTTCACATTGTGAGCTGAAGAGTATCAGTATCTTCCATACACTACAGTGATCTGCGTCACATCGTGAACTGAAAACAGGGATTCACGCTCAAAAGACAACTAGGATCTGAGATCTACAGTTGTGGGGCTCCCAAACGGTATTGGTGAAGAGACTGACAATGGGTGCGATGTGTCGACGTGAAACGTTTGATGGTGATCTCCGCAACTGTTTTATTGTGAAATATCAACAAGACCAGCTGCTGGTATGGGAAAGCAAGTTGTGTACGGCGAAGCGAGACCGTCTTGCAAATATCGAGGGTTAAATGTTAACGCTGGGAATGAACCAAAGGTGTGTGAGTTGCAAAACAAAAAAAAACAAAAAACAAAAACAATACAGGGATCATCGGCGACGACGCTTTTTGGGGTTTGACCCATTTCTGTTTGACGTGATTCGCGCCGGCCTGACCCTGAGACGTACACACACCGCTAGATCCTTGACATTGACGACAACTCGCTTCAATTCCCCTTTCACGTCGCTCTCCATGGCCTCTGCTGGCCGTTTCACAGGTGTCGTCGCAGACGTCGACAGTTGACTGCGACTTTCGCTACGTCTATCTCGACGGTGAGTAGACCGTCTTTTTCTGGCCGCACGTGGACCCGCTGGAATCACGGCTGTATGAAGCCTGGACACGGCTGTCATTGGGAAAGAAGTCTGTCTTCTCCGCTTGCGATCAAACACGGCGGGTGTCCATGTCCCTAATCGTTCTCCACGTGCTATCTTGAGGGCGAGATACGGACGGAAATCTAGACCTCGCTCCTTCTGCAACTCAATGGCCGCCTGCTCGACTTCCAGCAGGCTTTTTTCGATCTTTGCTTGTCTCTCCGCTTCGTCGACCTCCTCGACTGCCCTCGTCGCCTCAAACTCTTTTCGCTTCCTCTCGTCCTCCATGTTGCGTTTACATTCAGTGGAGCGTCGTTCAGACTCTGCGACAACGGCGTCCACAAGAGGAGCAATATACGTGTCGTTGATTTCGGCCTCGTTTGCTTCCCGTGATGCGGCGCTATGGTCGACATCTCTCGAGAAGACGGAAAAGACTTTTGGTAACGGGTTCCGCAAGGGATCATCTTCGGGCAGCACGCTCAATGCCATCCGTTTGGTCTCTTCGTCTCCGTAGGCAATGGCGTGGGCGAGGACGAGTTTTTCGCGAATGGCTCTGGCGACCGTGGCGGCATGTTTCTGAGGAATTCCAGCATCGCTGCAGAGGCAGTGGGCAAAAAGCTCTGGGGAGTTCATCGAGCCGATTCCAAGATCCCACTCGAACTCATCGCACAGGTTTTGTGAGCCGGGGCCTCCGCCCAGCTCGACATCAATACGAATGAGGCGACGGTTTTCCTCGTTGGCACCCGGAGGAGCAGGTGGGGCAGCGCACACGATTCCAGCGGAAAAGAGGGCGCGGCGAATCTGCATGGCGGTTGGTTTGACGAAGTTGTGGGGCAAGCGGCGGGCCCTTCGGATGCGATCGGCGACAAGTTCAGGACTGAGCGTGCGGTCGTTAACGTCCCATTGGGTGAACATGTGCAATGTGTGACCAGCAGTCTCTACAAAGAGCTCGACGGGTAAGAGCAAAGGCTCCGCGTGCGTGGGGTCAATAGTCCAGTTTGGAGCGACGAGAGCATGATACGCACGCTCGACAGCATCAACCAGGGACGGTTCGGCGGAATCCTCGAGGTGTTTGACAAACGGGGTGCGCTCTCGCTTTCTCTGTGAGACATGTCGATGGCGTGCACGCGCGGCGCGGTCTGTGACGTCATAGTGAGAAAATTCATGCAAACGCATCATAGGAGCATCGGGGCGCGGGGGGAGGTCCGGCTGCGG